CAACCCCTGACATTCTGTGATTCTGTAATGTCATTCATAGCACAGGTTTCTAATGCCTCTCTGCCATCTAATTGGCTGATGTGCTTCACACCCTCAGCCAACTCCTGATCTGTAAGTACCTGTAGCATCCTTTTCCTGCATTTCCTTCGGCAATATTGGAGCAAGAAGTATTCTCAGATACTCAGGCAAGTATAGGTTTGAACCTAACAAGAAGCACTTCAAGCTTAGCAGTCACTTGCCAAGATACTTACTAAAACAACTCAATAGTTTAGACCTCAGCCTTTTTACGAAGGCATTACTGTAGGGGATTAATCAAACTGAAGGTAGGCAGCTACATTCTAAGCTAATTATTCTAGGAGCTCTTTATAGTAAATGGCACATGTAAGCTACAATTTATCATGTCTTAAAATAGATGTTGAAACACATTTATCATGCTCAATTATAAGGCAAGTAATTCAGGAATAGAAATCCTTGTTATGGACATTTAAAGTTAGAAGAGATTAAGCCCACCCTAATTAACAGCCTGGTCTCCCTGGGAAAGGCAGCTCAGTGTCAATTTAAAGATTACAAAACAGATACAGACAGGTGCTTAATTTTCTTGCCACTGTAACAGTCAAGTCTTATGATGAAAGTTTTGCTCTCTGACAGCTGGAAGGTAATTCAAAGCACAGAATATGACTCACATAGGGAAATATTTATCTTGCTGCTGACCAAGTTTTGCTGAAAGCATAGGAGTTCTGGGAAATCATCGAGTCAACAAGGAAAACCTTGAGGGCCTTGTTACTCCAGCAAGATATTGGACTGTGCCCTAGACCCGGGGAACCACACAGCATGTCTACTGGGCAACTTAGCAGCAAAATACTCATAATGAAGCTGAGGCATAAAGCACTGCTTAGGATAGCTTATCCTAAGATTTCTGTAATCCAGACATCTGCAGGACATCAGAAGATGTCCTATGTGAAAGGGCCAAAACATTATTTGTTTTTGAAAAAATTAATATACCAGTCCTTGTAGTTACGCTGGCTAAGGTGGGCCTTGGACTTCCCCTTCCCTACCTACCGACAAATATTGACATAGTTCTCGGATTAATAGCATGGCAACACTGACTATTTCAAGGCCAGAGTTTTCTGAAGTATTTCATACACGTTGCTGAAAATGTTCCTCAGCATAGTGTCTTTTTAAGATTGTAACTCTTCAGACTAGAGTCAGTGCTGAGGGGCAGAAGAGAGACAAAAGGCATCCTCCTTCTGTCATCTAATTGCTTTCAATTTTTTTTCTGTTTATCCCTTTCATCTGCAAGCTTCTCTCCTTTCATATTCGTACTTTCTGTACCTCTGCAATTCTCACTACTTACCCAGAGGGTGTACGCGTAACAGCAAGCTCCTCACATCCTCCCACAATCAGTGTAGGTATAGCTGCATAAATTAACTAAACGCAGAGGGGAATAGATTGCCTTCAGGTGACAGGTCTGAACACCACTGAGGTAGTGCTGCTGATTTTGCCTATGGTTCCAGTCAGGAGAGAGCCATCCCAGGGGAACAGGAGAAGGCAGCTCTCTAGACCTACTTGTCTCCATACTGTAAATGTACAGGCTTGGTGGCCCCTTAGTCTGCTGTGACTTTGGTTGTGCCAGTCAGTGGTGTTACAGCTGCTGCATGGTATGTATGATGGGCTTATGTGTATGTTGACAGAGACTGAACTGATGGGAATATCTGAACTAAGAAATAGCAATGTGGTAGGACTATCCTTTGGCAAATACTCAGAGCTGGTTTGGTTTCTGGCAGAGACAGTATCAGGTGGTGCTGGCATGACTACCTGCGGTGCATTTGGCTGGCTTGGGTCTTGAGGTTGTTTCTGATCTTTTGAGATTTTTTCCCTAAAAAACCCCCTCATGCTGCTTCCTGCACAGTACCTTATGTTTTCCATTTCTTCCTCCTTTTCTGCCAGTTTCCTTTCAAACTCTGCTTTAAGCTGAGAAAGTTCAAGCTGGAAGCGAAGGGTCTTACTTTCTTCATGCTCCAAAGCTCCCTGAAATAGAAAGCACCAAGGCGGGGAATTGCTATTTTTTTTAAAAAAATCACAAACTGCTTCAGAAAGATGATTGCTTTGCACTTTTCTTCCTGTTCCAAACAACATTGTTTCCTCCCTACCTCTTCTCTAGGCAAGGACATGAACAGCTTTCGTGGCAAAAAAATGCATTTATTTGCCTTCTAATGCAGCTTGGCAGTTGAAAAACTGAGCAGCAAGCTCCTCAGAGGACAAATTGTCCAACAGTCCACAGCTCAGAAAAAAAACAAACCACAAAACCTTAGGCCCTGCCTTCACGGTTTTGATATCAACTGTCATTCCCTGCTCCACACCCCTGTTACACACACCCTCTGGAAATTCGTAGGCTTGTAAGGGATAGACAAAAGCTAAAACAAGATTGTTGTTGGGAGGGCAAAGGGGTCCACACATCCCCCACCTCACAAAGATCTCACCAAATCATGAAGTGCTGGAAGACTCCCAATTATAAAATCTTATTACGCAATATGACTTCAAGGAAAGAAATAACAGACATCGGCTCTATATGACAAAATGAAAAAATATTCTCTCCCTCTTTCCAATTAACATGAAAATAGAAAGTCTATGAAAAAGGGAGATTTGTTTCTATGCCATTATTCTTAACATTTCTCTCATATATGGAAAGTCAAGAACTGACAACAGCCCACAGTGAAATAACAGGGCTTCTGACTCCCAGGTCTTGCATAAATCAGGCACAGTGGCGTTCTGTCTCCTTGTTGTTCACATCAAACAGTACTGAACATCATATATTTTGGAAGCGCTCTCTGAAGGTTAGAATTGCATAGGCTTAGCTATGCTTCCCTCAAAGGCTAACAGAAATGGAACAAAGGTTCTGAAGACAAAGCTGTACAAAATCCTTGCTAATCACTGGCCATCACACAGCAGCTACAGGTCAGTTGAACACACGTTTCATGCCAAGGAGACACAACATATTAAGGGAACAGCATGCAGAAGTACGGTGTCACTGGTGGTGACTGCCAGAGATACAAATTCACAAGGAAGGGAGAAAATTTGCATTTCTTTCACAATTAAAATAAGATACATCATGCCACTTTACTTTTGTTAGTTCCTAATGTCACTGAGCTTTAGGAAGCCATTCCGCACAGTCCAGGAAAGTAAAGTGTGCCACTTAGAACCCTCAAGAACTGATGTATTCTTTCTAGCAAGAAAAGTTTATCAATAGAGCATACAATCACTCTCCACATCTCAGAGCTGTGGAAGAAAGGCATGATCTTTCTTTGCTCTGACACCTGTTTGTTTGGCTGTGAAATCCCTGCCAAGTATAAAGCATCCTGTAACAGACAAAAGAAGTTGCAGAGCATTTAAGGTATTCACAGATCCCTGTCACTGGATGATGTCAATTTTAACAGAGATTATTTAGATATAATTTAACAGATATTATTTCAAAAGAAATGCAGCCTTCCCTAAAAATCCCTTGCTATGTGCTGTATTGCTTCCAGCCAGCAACACCTACTCCCCTTCTTAGCTTTTCAATGCACCAAACTTTCAAAAAAACTGACAACTAAGTGAATAACCAGGTTTTCCAGTTGGCTTGTTCTGTATTGCTGGTTTGTTTTGGGAAACTAGGATGAGGCATCCCTCTTGGGTACATGCATACTTGTCCCTGTCAAAATTAATGTAGTGATGCTAAATGTCTTTACAAAACTTCTATTGGGAGTCAATTTTCTAAATGGCCTGTTTTCAATTGGTTTCTGAGACTGCTACCATTTTTTAAAGCACGCTGCAGTATCCGTGCAGTACCCAAGACCTTATAAAATTTAAAGTCATCAGGTTTGTTTCCTTATTATAAAAACTAGGAAATAGTGAATTTGCTGTTGCAAACTAGACACTAGAAATATCTGATAAAATAGTGTAAGACCATCACCTCAGCAATTCCTTTTTCCTGAAAGACTAAAATATTCTATGCTGAAGTGAGCAAGGATTGGATTTTCAAGAGGTAGGCAGAAGATTTCTGAGCTTCCTGTAAGAGGAAGAAAAATGCAAAAGCAACAAAAACCCCAAACCTACAAGGCATCTCCTTTGAAAGGGAGATGATGATCTCAGAGCCGACATCTTCAAAAGTCACATCACTTGAAAATACTGGCTAACAAGCCCAGAGGAGCTGGGTGCAGAGAGGTTGCACTTGCTATCAACACATTCACTGTGTTGCTGAGAGGATGAAAAAGGAAGGAAACTCATGATAAAGATAGCCTTTCCTCTTCCTTTGAGTTTTCTTTCCTTACCTCTGCTTCTTCCAGAGCCAGCTGAACTTCTGACTTCTCTTGTTCAACCTGTTTCTTGATTTTTTCTATTTCATGGAGGCTCTTGTTCCCTTCACTGATCTGATTGGTCAGATCAGAAATCTCCTCTGAGATAAAAAAGGATGGATGGATTTAGCAATCAGCATGTCCCGAACAAAATGCAATTCATGGAGCACAGATACAGGATCTGTACCTCAAACTGCTACCTCAAGGCCTCCTCTGTACACAGATGCTGCCTCACTTTCAATTACAGCAATGTTTTTTACCTGACCAACTTGAAGGCACAGTCTTTCTTGCAAATGCTTTTTGAAGTGTCACAGTGTTTTGGTTTTTATCTGTGATCTGCAGTCTAACGATGCTGTGCTATGCTTTGGGAGCTGTTCAGGTTTCATCCGCTGCACCTCTGTCATCTTTCTTACTCACCCCTGGGACTGGCACCTCTGCCAGTGAGCTTTGTTGGCAAGTGAGCAAAGGGAAGCCTGCTCTCCTCTGGCCATACCAATTTCTATGTTTAAAACCTTCATTGCCAGCATCAGTCAGTGTCTCCAAACACACTGGAAAACTCATCTCAAGGATGAGATAAACACCTTTTCCCACAGCTGCTAGAGGGCTCCTGCATCTCTCCAGCTGTCTGCTGGCTTGGCTCTCACATTGGACATGGGGCCTGAATGAAGCCTACCTTGGAGGTTCTTGTTTTCCCTTTTCAATGTCTCCAGATGGTCCAGCGTCTCCTCATAGGCGTTCTTCAGCTTGAAGAGCTCAGTGCTGAGGCCACGGGCCTCCTTCTGGGAAGCCTCCAGCTCAGCCTGTGACTCTTCGTACTTCTGCTTCCAGTCACTGATGATCTTGTCAAACCCACGTTGCTTCTTGTCCAGGGAGGCAGCTGCTGAGTTGGCCTTCTCCAGGTCAATCATCATGTCTTCCAGCTCATTCTGCAGCCTGTGCTTTGTCTTTTCCAGAGAAGAGCACTTGGCATTGGCTGCTTCAATTGCTTCCTCAGCTTCCTGCAGGCGAGCGGCGAGCTTCTTCCTGCCAGGTGGGAAGAGACAGTGAAATGACCAAGTGCCACTATTATTTTATCTAGAAAAACTGACACCAAAGCTGCATCTCAATAAATCAGTTTTGAGAGGGAAAACTGAGAGGGCAGAGGAAGGGACGGGTAAGTCAAGCCTCTAGAGAGAAGGGGTTATGATAGGCAAAAAACCCAGCTTAAATTATGAATGCTGACATGTGGCAGATAATTTTGTGCATATGTGTGAATACTTGAAATTGAACTTCTGAACTCTCAAGCAGCAGCTTGCTACTTGCTAACTGTAATTGATGTGGGCTGGTTGTAACTTTTGATAAGACCTGGCCTGAATGAAAGCATTGTGTTACTCCAGTTAAGAGATATTAGACAAAACTACCAGTTAGGAAGCTGGTCACACCTTGGGCTTTTGGTCATAGACTATTTAGATTGGAAAAACAGAGGGCTAGGAGGGCTGGCAAGAAGAGGTCCTAGAAAGAAAGAAATGCCCAGATAGAAGAACATGAAGATGCCAGTGGGGGAAGATCCTACAGATCAAAGATGTGTGGAGGCAGATACTGGAGATGGTCAGACATCATGCTTAGTAACGCCTGGGATTTGCAGCTGGGAGTGGCTGAACAACATGAGCCAACATGACTTTCTGCTCTACCTTTCCAGGGCAGCCATCATCTCACTGCTGGGAAGCAAAGTCAAGACCAAGGGAACATAGCACTGGGCTGGGAAAAAGCAAGCGTGTGATGTAACCAAGCTGAGTAATCTTGGTAGTTCTTAAATAAATCCCAGTATCCACATCCACTACCCCAAGAACAAGGATTCCACAGAAACATTGACCTGATGAAGCAATGAACAAAACAAAATGAGGGCAGCCACAAATGACAGCAATGAGCCAGAGGGATTTTTCCAACCAGGCTGCCCTATTTCCTTAGCGCTGTAACGTGTCCCAGTGAGCACAGTTCGGCCAGCCCACGTAACCCACTTACTTGGCATCTTCCAGCTCCTCAGTTCTCTGAATGGCATCAGTCTCATACTTTGTTCTCCACTGTGCCACTTCTGCATTTCCCTTGGAGAGAGCCCGCTGCAGCTCTGCCTTGGCTTCTTGCTCCTCCTCATATTGCTCCCGCAAGAGATCACAGTCATGCCTGGCCGCTTGCAGGGCATGAGCCAGGGCATTTTTGGACTACAGGGACAGAAAATTCACAGCATTGCAGGGTTACCTGCAGCACAATCCAAACAAACATCCTCTAGAAATTCAAATGGAGGCTTAAGTTCTTTTTATTTCTTTTTGCCTCTGGACTTGACAGTCCATGCCAAGTGAGATGTGTTTGAAGTCATCCCTAACTGGTGACATGCTGGGAAAGCTATCAAGACTGAAGATAACACCTTTGGAGAAGCATCCAAATTTTTAAGATGCAAGATCTGAGATTTTGGCTATCCTATTGGTAAGTTTTACTGGAGACATTCAAAACCTGCCTGGACAGGTTCCTGTGTGGCCTGCTCTAGGTGATACTGCTTTGGCAGGGAAGTTGGATTAGATGATCTCTAGAGGTCCCTTGAACCCCTAACCTCCTAGGATTCTATGACGCTGATTGTTTTCTTAGTAAGGGGCAGGAACTTATATCAGTACAGTAACCAGGAAGATTCTCCCTCCTATGTTTCAATTCAGGTTTTATCCAGGCTACAAACATCAACAGCTTTCCCCATTCCATTTCAATGAATGAGACACAGTCAAAGCACTACCTTGGTTTCCTCTTCTAGCTGTCTCCTGAGTTCTTCAATCTGTTGTGTAAATGATGTTTTCCCCCGAGACAGCTGACTTATCAGTGACTCCTTCTCTTCAAGTTGTCTTACAAATTCACCTGCCACAGAATTTAACAAGAAAAATGAATAAGGTGATGAAATGACAAAGTCCCAGCCAATATCGAAGTGCTGCCAGTCTAATTCAGCTGAGGAAAAGAGCTAATATTGTTTGTGGCTGACCTTTTCAGAAGCTTCTTCCAAGGAAGATTTCACTTCACCAGGATAGTTTTCCTTAGGCTTTTTTTGTTTGTGTTTGGGTTTTTTGGTGAGTTTTGTGGTTTGGTGTTTGGGTTTCAAGGTTTTTTGTTTGTTTGGGGTTTTTTTGTACTGCAAATACCTTGATTTGTTAATTTTTGTTCAGCTTGTGGATCAGACTAGACTGATGCTTACTTTCACATGCAGTTATAGCTGGTTTTGCTTGTACTTTTCTATTTTACATTGATTTTCCATTGACTTCTCAGAGGGCTGCAGAGCACCCCAAGAACCTCACAACGACCAGCCTACAGAGCAGAGAGATACAAAAGATCACGAGAAGGGTGTCACTGCAGGGTGGAAACTGCAGCATTGTAGGAGTACATAGAACAAGGCAAAGGCTCCAGCCAAAAATGCAGCTGATGTCATTTACTGCAACTGACATCATTTACTTGGACCTAAGCAAAGCCTTTGACACTGTCCCGCATGACATCCTGGTCTCCAAGCTGATAAGGTATGGGATTGATGGATGGACAATTCTGTGGATAGAGAACTGGCTTGATGGCTGCACCCAAAGAGTGGCTGTCAATGGGCCCATGTCCAAGTGGAAGCCAGTGACAAGTGGAGTCCCTCAAGGATCAGTACTGGGACCAGTCTTGTTTAACATCTTCAACAGCGACATGGACAGTGGCATTGAGTGCACCCTCAGCAAGTTTGCTGACTGCACCAAGCTGTGTGGGGCGGCTGACATGCTGGAGGTTAGGGATGCCATCCAGAGGGACCTTGACGAGCTAGAGAGGTGGGCCCAGGCCAACCTCATGAAGTTCAACAAGACCAAGTGCAAGGTCCTCCATATGGGTTGAGGCAATCCCAAGCACCAATATAGGCTGGGCAGTGACTGGCTTGAGAGCAGCCCTGAAGAAAAGGACATGGGAGTACTGGTAGATGAAAAGCTCAACATGAGCTGTCAGTGTGCACTTGCAGCCCAGAAAGCCAGTCGTGTCCTGGGCTGCATCAAAAGGTGAGTGGCCAACAGGTTGAGGGAGGTGAGTCTTCCCCTCTACTCTTGTGAGACCTCACCTGGAGCCCACAGCACAAGAAAAATCTGGACGTGCTGGAGTGTGTCCAGAGAAGAGCCACGAGGTTGATTAGAGGGCTGGAGCACCTCTCCTATGAAGACAGACTGAGAGAGTTGGGGTTGTTCAGTCTGCAGAAAAGAAGGCTCCAAGGAGACCTTATTTTGGCCTTCCAGTATCTCAAGGGGGCCTACAAGAAAGCTGGTGAGGGGTTTTTTAGGATGTCGGGTAGTGGCAGGACTAGGGGGAATGGATTGAAGCTAGAGATGGATCGGTTCAGATTGGACATTAGGAAGAAGTTCTTCCCCACGAGGGCGGTGAGACACTGGCACAGGTTGCCGAGAGAGGGGGTGGAAGCCCCATCCCTGGAAGTGTTCAATGCCAGGCTGGATGCAGCTCTGAGCAACCTGATCTAGTGGGGGATGTCCCTGCCCATGGCAGGGGGGTTGGAGCTAGATGATCTTTAATGTCGCTTGCAACCCTGACAATTCTATGATTCTATGATAAGCTACTGCTCCATTCAGCAATCCTAATCCAGTCACCTTCAGCACAGATGCCATTGCATGATACATCTTACCTATGCAGTGCTGAGAAGCAGCTGATCAGTTACTGGGAAGAAGTCTACCTGGGCTGAACATGCACATACCATTCTCGCTCTGAAGTTTTGTCTTCTGAGTAGTGAGGTCATTCATGAGGCGAGTCATCTCATCCAGTTTTGTTTTTGTCTCATTCAGGTGGTCTTCGTAAGTGCGGCAAAGTTTCTCTGCATTTGCCTAATGGGAATCAAGAGAAAAGACAAAAGAGTGGTAGCCTCCAGGCAGCTATTTGGAAACTATAATCTTCCAATGTATCCTTTTTATTTTTTTGTTTGTCTTTCAGAGAAACGGCAGATAGCAAAGGCACAAATACCACAGCAGCAGAGTGGGAAACAGTAGCCATCTGTCTACAGCCCCAGGCCTGGGAACTCCCCCATCAGACCACCTTCCCCATTTATTTTCCCTGAACTGCATTCTGAACAGAAGCACTAGCGTAAAAAGGCTCGGCAAGAACTTCAAAAGCAATCACATGCCTATGTAGTTCAGCCTCCTCATAATTGCTAGATGGGAAAAATTACCTCCAATGAAAATTGCTCTACTGATTCTGCTTTAATTGCCATTTATCATAAATTGAGTTTGATGACAGCTTTCTAACTCGTAGAATACTGACATTCCTTTTCTTCACTTGCACTGAAAGCACTCTTTAGAGTGCTTTGAGATACCAAGACTATCTGTTCAGGAAGTAAAATTCACAATTCAGCCATAGAAAGTGAATATACACACGATGGTCATGCAAACCTTTTCTTTGCACTCCTTGCTAACTTGGGTCAAAACTGTGAACCAAGGGCAGGATGCCTTGGGTGGCATCACCCCAGTCATCACCACCCTGGGTAAGCATAATTTAAGTGATGCAGTGTTGTGCTCTGAGATATATGCATAAACAATATGTCTGGGACTAGGGATGCACTTTGTGTTTTAGACGGGCCCTCTTGATTGCTGTCCCATCTCCAGATAAGAAGGGCTATAGCAGCAGCTGGGGAAGGGGGGTCACTGTGCACATAAACACCCTCAGATTGCAAGACACCACCTTCTAAAACACTCCAGACCTATTAGGTGTCCTGGGGAACCTTCAGACCAGCCTTAGGTATGCATCGCCTTTGGGGGTTGGGAAGCCTCAGGACCCTTACTTTCCCCTTGACCATCTGCTCCATGTTGGATGTCAGATCATCCACTTCCATCTTCAGCTCGCTTTTCTCCTTTTCCAGTTTCTGCTTGACCCGCTGCAGGTTGTCCAGTTGCTCCCCCATCTCAGCCACGCTGTCTGCGTGCTTCTTCCTCAGGGTGGCAGCCGTGGCTTCGTAGTGCAGTGTGGCCTCCTCGAGGTCCCGCCGCAGCTTCAGGAACTCTGCCTCACGCTTCTTGTTCATCTCCAGCTGGGCAGCTGTGGCTCCCCCAGCCTCCTCAAGTCGCTCACTTAATTCCTCCAGCTCTCGGGCCAAATCTGATCTCTGCTTTTCCACTTTAGCTCGAGCAGCTCTTTCTGCTTCCAATTCCTCTTCTAGTTCTTCTATACGAGCCTACCAATGAGACACAAGCACATTTGGGCCAACTTCATGATGATTCCCACCAGATCATGAAGCACAAATTGATGAACCCTCTGCCAGCCCATGCATTAGAACACAGGTGGAAGCACGGCAGATAAAGGACCTGTCCATTTGTGCCAGTAAATCAGATCCTGAGCTAGAGTGAGGACGATGAGTCACATCTTTCTCACGGTAGAGATTGCTCCACAAGCTCTAGGTCAAGACATTAAGGCCAAGTGCATTGACCTTATACTCACGTACTTGACATTCAGCTGAAGTACATGAGAGAAGTTATTTGATAGTAGGAGTAACAGCAACAAATTGTCATTGTAAAGGAGTTTTTGTTCCCATTTTAAGAGCTCTGTGCCTGAAGTAACCTGTCCCTAAGACAGGATTGCCTCTCTCTAAGCTTACCTCTCCCTAAGACAGGAGTGTTAAGACAGGATTTCAAATACAGCAGTGTGTAGAATTGCATGAATACTAACTGGAGTAGTCTCTTTTATAAAACAGTTATTTTGACCTATCTATGCTTCACATCCAAGTTATGCAAATCTTTATTTACAAAAAACCAGAGTTGCTATTTTGGGTCAAGACATTTTGTTTGGACTGTGCTGACTGACTTTGGCTTTTAATTTGTTGAAAATCTGCTGCGCATTTGAGCCCTTCCCTGAAATTTCAAATCTGTGCTTATCACTGCTTAACTTATTCCCAGCATCCACCCTCAGCTTCATGGTCTGACTTAAAATAAAACACCAGAGCCTTTCTGCCTTGCCTGAAACCACTAGCATTCTGTGGTCATGTGTCCTGCTACTGAGAAGGAATCACTATAGAGTGAGCATATAGAGGGGCAAAGGGATCATTCTGGAAAGCTACAGAGTTGCATCACTTTAGGCCTCAAAGCCAATCTGTGGCTAGCTATGAAAAGTTTCTGGAAAGAGAAACTCATCCTAAGATATGTGAGAAAGAAGCAAACTGACCTGAAGCTCCTTGATCTTTTTCTGCAGCTGCATCACTATAGCTTGTTCATCTTCTATCTTGGAATTCAGCTGGCTCATTTCAAATTCTTTCCTGCCACAGAAAGAAAAATCTTACTGTGAAATTTTTTCCTGTGGCTTCAAGTTAGGCTTCTGCAATTTTAAAAGAGTTGCTCAGTAAAACTTCTAACATATCTAAAAATGAAAGTAATCCTCATGTACTGCAATTTGCATAAAACCACATTTTTCTCTGAGCAGCGCTTTCCAAGTCAAGACTCTGCATGCATGTGTGCAATTATATTTCTGGTTCCTCATGTCATACACAAGTAATGTTATTTTCAGAAGACTCAGTAGGAAAATATATTTAACAGAGTCAGGTCTTTCAAAAATACTATCACAGCTAGTGAGGATGGGCAACTTTTTAAAGACTTCCTTCAACTTTCTCCTCTAATCAATGGAAAACATTTTAAATAAAAAATAAATAATAATTCCTTCCCTTCTTGCCTATACACTCTCTCCTTATGGAATTTCCTTTTAGTCACCATCAGATCAGGATGACACACCTGAAGGCTCTGAAGGGACAGTGGTAACTGTGCTGCCTTATTTTGTACGATTAAATCAGTCTCTTACTTTTTCAGCTTTTCTTCCATCTGCAGCTTGTCATTCTCCAAGTCCATGACACTCTCTTGCGTCAGCTTCAAATCCCCTTCCAGTTTGCGTTTTGCCCTTTCTAGATCCATCCTCACTTTCTTCTCTTGTTCAAGTGAGCCCTCCAGCTTTAGGAACAAAGTGACTTATTAAACATATTGAATACAGATGGTCTACAACAGTCAGATGTATGCTGAACCCAGTTTTGTGCTGAGCTCTAGCAAGATGTGAAGCGGACATGCTTAAGTACAAGCATCCTGTTTTACATTTTTCTGTTTTCTAGCATCCAGTGGGCATATGGGTAAAGAAATATAATGTAAGGCTTAGTCCAAGTTTTACATTTGTGCAAATATTACACTTCTCCTAGTAGCAAAGTTCTGCTTGACTTCATGCCAATTACACTGCAAATGCAGACTGAGTGGGTTTTCGCTTGTTATCGTGCTTCTTTCAAAGACTGACCTACACAGATAAGTTTTTGTGTTGTTCTTGTAATTTTACCTTTTACAGACAGTACAAGGACTGTATTTCTAAATTCTTGACCATTTTTAAAAGGACAATAATACTTTTCAAAGCTTTGCAACATTTCAGATTCATGAAGACTCCAAGTGATGGAGAAACAAGCCTGGGGAAACATGAAGGCAGAGCCAGCTTACATCATCCACTTGCTGTTCCAGTTTCACTTTAGCTTTGCTCAGTGTGTTGACCTTGTCCTCCTCTGCTTGTAGGTCATCCAGAACTTGCTGGTGAGCTTCCTGCAAGGACTTTTTCTCCTTAGTAAGTTTGCTGATATTCTCATCAAGAGTCGCCATTTCTTCCGTCAGATTTTTGACCTATGTGAGAAAGGAAGATGTATTTGTAAGACTTTAAAGCAAGGGAAACTTAGGCTTCAGAGTTAACACTTTTTTCCCTCATAAAGTCATATAATCATACTGATTCTAAAGTGTGACCTGTGTAACAGATAGTGTAAAACCACCAGAAGACCAGTAGCTCTGGTCATAAAGGTAATTAATGCCCCACCAACAGATACCTTGTTCTCAGTAGCATGCTTTTCTTTCTCTACTTTTGCAAGTGTTATTTCAAGATCATCAATATCCTTCTTGAGCTCAGAGCACTCATCTTCCAATTTTCTCTTCTTAGAAGTCAGTTCAGAATTCATCTCTTCCTCATCCTCAACCCGCTCTGTCAGTTCTTTGACTTTGGCCTCCAGCTGAATCTTGGATTTAATCAACAAGTCACATCGTTCCTCGGCATCTGCCAGAGTGTCTTGCTCCTGGAGTGGCACAAGGAAGAGGACAGCAATTACTGCCTGGCCTTTTTTAATTCCTCACCCGTCCCGTATCCTGATCAAAGAGCCTGATCCAATGCTACAGAGCAGTGTAAGGAAAATTTCCTACTCCTGATTTCTGAAGACAAGAACAACAAGTAGTTAACAGAGGAGGATGAGACAGTGGTGAGCATGACCAGTCCCATGTAGGACTACTTTCCTAGGAAGGACATTGCCTTGGACAAAACCTATTGATTTGCATTGCTGGTTGTATGCTAGAATATGAGAATAACTTCTATCTGAATTTTTGGCAAGACTCTGACAAGATCAACAGCTTAATTTAATTGAATTGCACTCTGATCTGTAAGCCTTTGAGTTTTAAAGAACATTTAATAAATATACGAATATATGTGTCTACTCACGGCTTGGAGCTGGAGAAGCAAATCATTTTTTTCCTGAACTAAAGAGACTTGCTTTTCTTCAAGTTCTTTTCTCCTAGCTTCTGATTTTTCCAGGGCCTCCTTCAGTTTCAAGAACTCTTCCTTCATATTGGCCATCTCCTTTTCAGTTTCTGCAGACTTCAGAAGAGGTTTGATCTTAAAGAAAAGCTTCATCCAGGGCCAGTTCTTCACAGCCATAAAAGCACGGATGTTCCACTGAATTACAAGAAGGGCATCCCTGGTTTAAGAAGAAAAGAAACAAAATTCCCTAAGGCTTAGCCTGAATTGAGAAACTGAGAAGGTTTTTTTGTTCTTGATCAGTTTTATGGCTTTGTTCTCAGTAATATTAGGAACTTGTACTAGGTTCCAAGATATACAAGAAACTTCTTCCATAGCTCTTGATTTTCAGAGATGTGGAAAATTTCCAAATCTGATTTTTACCAGAGCTGCAGGCACCTAATATACGGTTGCTATTATTTTTATCATACATCCACTTTAAATCTTTAATTTAGGATTAGATATAGCCTTAGGGACTGTAATAATGGTTCTATTCAGCATACACTTAAACAGTAATGACTATTATCTGATAAGATTTAAGGGTGTGCCTTCATACCTTCTCTCCACTATCTTCTGAAACTCGATTCGCATCAGTCTGCCACGTGCTCTTGCCTGGATCATTGTTAAGACTTTTGCCAGTCTCTCATCCCTCATTTCTTCTAGATGGCCCAAGAGCCCAGCCTTAAAGAACACCTGGTACATGCACAGATGTTATTTCTCCATAACGAAGTACATTTTTCTAGACTTACAGAGACCTTATTGAAATAATTCAGAAGGGTGGTATTTTTATTGACACATTTTAAAGTAAAAGGGTATAGAGGGCCAAATACAACTTGCATCAGCAACTGCGTCATACAGTTTCAAAGTTGTTTTAAAACTGTGTCTCATCTCCCCAGTTTTACATAGGCCAAACTTCCTAGTTGAGAGCGATAGAATGAGGAGAAATAGGTTTAAATTGTGCCAGGAGAGATTCACATTAGATATTAGGAAGAATTTCTTTACTGAGAGGGTTGTCAGCCATTGGAATAGCCTGCCCAGGGAGGGGGTTGAGTCACCGTCTCTGGAGGTGTTTGAGAGACGGGTGGATGTTGCGTTGAGGGGAATTGTTTAGCCGCTTGATAGGGCTGGGACAAAGGCTGCACTGGATGATCTTTTAGGTCTTTTCCAGCTGATACAATTCTATGATTCTATGATTTTATTGCTACATTTTTATTGCCATGATACTTTTCAGCTGTGGCAGGGTTCAAAGCAGGTCAGCTGAACCACAGCTCCCAACTCCCAGAGATCCTTGCTAATGGGATCATGTCATAATTGCACATGGCCTCATTTCAAAAACTGCAGCTGATCTTGTGGTCCATCTATGTTTGAGTGTACCTCTATTATATTAAACAAGCTATTGTTTTACTGGGGGGCATGGAGCATCAGCTGCTGCTGTGTCCACTTGTAGTGTTGCTGTGATAAAAGCTTCGTGAGAGCTTGAACCAGAAAAATAAATCTCCTCTAGCACATATTAAAAATTAGTATCACTTTGCTGCTATATTACTGGTTCCTTTTATTATTAACTCTTAATTATTCACCGCCACCAGAAATTGCATAATATCCTGTTCCACAAATTAGATATTAAGTCTATTGCTTTTCTCTTTACTTAAACAGCGATGGTCTTTTCTGTTTACCTTGGTGTGTCCAAAACGATATTGGTTATGGTCAACATCTAAAGATGCCATCAGTTTTTCAGCAGCTTTTCTGCTATCCACAAATTTATCCTCTGGGATTGCACCTGGGTTCAGAATGCGGTACCTGTAAATAAAAAATGAGCAATGAGTAAACTTGGCCTAGATTCTGCATTATGTTTTTGTTTGCTTTTTTCCCCTCCTCTTGACCCAAAACTTGAAAAAAATTCACCGAGGGTAATGTGCAACTTTGCATCTACAGACACAAGAAAGAGCAGAATTCTGCCTCCTATGTTCAGGGAAACTGAACTAAAAATAAACTTGAATGGAATAAAAATCCCTCAAATAAAAATGAGAAGACGTGCCTTGCTTATTTTGACTGATGAGTTAGGACAGAAGACAACACTGCTCTGCATTACCTTTGTTTAAAGTCAGCATAGAGTACCCTGTTTGGGAAGCCCTTCCGGCAAATGCGGATGCCTTCCAAGACACCATTACAGCGGAGCTGATGCAAGACAAGGAAAGCATCCATTTCACCTATGGGGGAAAACCAAGGCTAAATTAAAGGGAGCTTCTCCGTAAGGCTTAATGTTCTTTTCGCCGAGGGAGCTGGAAAATGTGAGATGTCTTCTCCCGAAAGAGCAACACCATTGGATAAGGTGAATGACACAGTATTTGGTAAAGTCTGGTGGCTTGGAAGTAAGCATTGGAATAACATAGTTCAAATATACTAAAATTGTAAGACTGTTGTGTTTTTCATACCTGGAGTTTTTGATTCATTGGGGATAATGCATCGTACAAAGTGAGGGGATGTGGATTTTAAGTTAGTCATCAGCTTATTTAAATTTTCCTAGAACAGACATATAAAAATCACAATTAGCTTTAGCAGTTTAGTGAAATTTCAGTAATTTCTTTGGTTTGTTGGTTAAGTTTATTACGGGCATCTCTCTAAATAGTCTCCAACAAAATGATAGGCTTACCAAAATTGCTACAGAGAAATGTGTTCAAATAAACCAAGGTATAAATTAATTTTTATTATAGTCTTAAGAAGATAGATGTTTTACAACCCCTGAAATGTCAGAAACAACATGCATAGCAAGCAAGATGCAGTATAATCCTGCAGAGCATTCTATAAAACCAACAACATTTTTACCTAGTCACTTCCTTACTGAATGAGGATAGTCCACCTTTCCCATCTGTTCCTCATAAAACCTAAGCTTTTGTCCCCCTGGCCAAACATTTTCCCTTTATTGATCTTAATCAGACATCTCCCAGGCAGGCAGCAAGCTAGCTGAGAAGCACCCAACCATTCAGTGCCTACCAGCGATCACCAAGGTCTGCAGGAAGTGTTTTGTCTAGTAAGCAGAAAATGGAGACCACTGGGGTGGAAAATAATGCCAGAATATTAGAACAACTGATGTTTGAACTGAAGACTTCTCACACCAGTCAGGGCAACAAATGAGACAACATGAGCTGCGCACTTAGCAGCTCCTTGTGTGGGAGAAACTGGGCTTCTATCTGTGAGTTTTTAAATTACTTTCTGAGTGATCCTTCAGCTACCTTTGGACTTCTTCAACAGGAACGGTACAGGTCTCAGTTTCACATGATTTCCCTTCTTGAGGAATACCTCCAGACAAGATAAAATGACGTGACTAGTGGGAGATAACTACTTCCTTCCCTACCTGGGGTTTACTTGCATTACAGCTTCCTCAGTGTTACCCATAAGAAATGTTAATAAATTATAGGGCCCATTTTTTCACAGGCATGATCCTAGTCACAGCTTCTGCCAGGAGCACATGCCAGTCTCAGCAGAAGGGAATTACTCAGGAAAAAAGAGGATAAATGCTACTGCAGTCAACCACTTTTGTTTTCCATGACTGCTCTAACCCCAGGATTCAATTACAGTCATCAGATAGGGACTAGAGAATTACTTGTAATCAGTTCCTGTTTCAAAGACATGTGTGAAGCTACAAGCCACAAAATAAGTTATAAAGGTGATTCATAGCATTTTGTACTACTTTCTGAAATAGCATAAACCTCACTTAATCTCTTGAATGCTCAAAGAAGATAGAATGTAGCAGGTCCTCAAACATCCAGCTTTAATAACAGTGTATTCACTTAGTCAAGGTCGATAATCCAGGCTCTGAATCAAATTCTGATGTTGGATTTCAATTTTTTTTCTCCATTACAATCCTTAACATTCCTCTTCAATGTACTGTCCTAAGTCAAACCATCAGGTGGGGAGAGGTAAACAAACCTTGTGCAATGAGGACACCGTTTGAAAAGAAGCACCTTTCTTGCGTTTCTTTTCTCCACCCTGGTCACCTAAAGAAAAAAAAACCAACTAAAAATCACAATCTGTATCTCAGTATGGGGTGCATGCAGGGCATAGGAGACAGAGAAACCCTTCTCATACTGCAACTCCCTTTAAATGAAAGGCATGGCTAATGAGTCGGTAGCTCTGATTGCTCCAGTATTATATAAAACATTCTGAAGATGAATTGTGATATATCACAAGCTTGCAGCTCTCCGTCCATACTTAGGATTTTTGTCAAAGACCACTGTAAACTTTTTGGATTGCATTTGCCTTTCAGATGTACACAGCATTACTTGTTATGCAGGAAGTCCATAAATATGAATAAGGAGGAAAAATAACTTTTAACAAAATAGAGTAATTTGTAATTCATTAAAAAGCCTACGTGATGTAGAAAAAGAAGTGATGCTTATGGAAAATTTACACTGTACATTGTACTGTATAGACACTGATTCTCATGTACGCTATGCAGGCACTGAACTCGTGCAAGTAACATCTGTCTAGAATGGAGGGAAATGAATATCTGTGATTTTTAGATCTAGTAGCTTTATATGCCCCGAATTTTGCTTAAAGCTTCAGAGTCAGAATCACTCAGGTCCTCCAACAGAATGCTAGTTTCTGACATGACCTTTACGAAGTTTCAGAGGAGTCAAACATGACCCAAAAACCTACAGCAGTTGCTGCAGCTTTCTAGGCGCTGGACCATTAGATCATTCCCAGGAGGTCTGGCATTCTGTCACCTGTCAACATTGGTCAACGTAAAAGGAAAAGTGAAGAGCTCAATGTGCTTGATGCAATTATCCACAGCCTTTCCCCCCTTTGAAAGTGACACTGCTGAAACTGGAAGAGGCTAATCTGGACAGGCTGCTCTTTTCTCCTGACACTGAGGAAGAACAAGGTAATATTCTGACAGACAGGAACATCCACAGGCAAATAGGCAGTTAGTAACTTGTAAGAATTTGCTAGTAGCAGGATTTTTGTTATTTACATTCAACTCCGTCTCTTATTCACATTATGAAGTCTGCAGCCTGCTTGCTTCCTCAAAAAGCATCTTATGATTCATGACAACGACATCTACAGAAATGAGGTTACTAATAAATAGGCTGTAAGTGATTGCAACTTCAGGACATAAGAGCTACATCTTTGTAATGAATGCCAGTCTTATTTACTTAAGATCAATTTTCTGGATGCTTGCTTCTTGTCTTCTCACAAATAAAACAGTTCCATGTAATGCATACAGCTTAAATATGTTCTCAGACATACATCAGTCCTGTCAAACAAACAAAAAATCCAACAGCGACCGAAAAGGAAGAGGTATTGGTGAAATCTTCTACTTTGGCTGATGGCTGTGTTCAGGTACCATCGGCATCTACTTGCTACTACTAATTCAACAAAATATTCTAAAACACTCTTCTACACTCTGTATTTCTTATTTAATTCAGAGTGGCTAACAAGGAGGACTACAGCGTGTGAAACAAGAGCTGTTCTTGTTTATGGGCATTTATGTACAAAATTTTTTTGTGCAACACTTACCTGCATATCTGAATGCTTACTTGCTCACACTGCCACTGGAGTGTTCACAGATTTCCTTGCCAATACTCAGAGGTATCAGGCATTCAAATTAGCTGAGTTAATGGCCTCATTGGCATAACTGGCGAACTCCTACAGATGCCGTGCACATCTAAATAATTAGTCACTGCCTCATTTAGCATTGAGCAAATTGCAGTTGAGAGAGTTGTTTTGTTTCTTAAATTCATTCCCAAGCACATATCTCAGAAAGGAAAGGAAATCCACGTGAGCTGATTCTACTTACCACCGTCAGCACCAACGTAGCTCTCAAACAGGCTTGCCAGCAGTTTGTTGGATGATTTTTGGAAAATACCTACTACAGTTTCATTAAGTGGGTCTTTGTTCTTCTCAAGCCACCCAATGATGTTATAGGCAACCTACAGCAAGCATTGGAAAAAAACCAGAGGTTGGAAATGTTCTCCTTCAGAGCAGCCAGTAGTTCTTTATGGTTTGGCTTGAAGTCAATGACTTTTTGTAGAGTGCTGCTCTGAGAGCAGTACCAGCCACACAGTTTTTCATCACTTCCCCTTCAGTTCTCTGCTTCCTAATTCCCACACCTCTCTTCCTAATAATTACCAACTGAATCCTGCACACCCCTTTCAAACTATCTGGTCCCTACACCTTCTCATGGACTCCATGTGGTTGGCTGTAGAGATATCGCATGTTGTCAGTGTTCCAAGAGCTACTAATGAGTGCTGAACTATAAAATGCACAAGTAATAATTTCACTTCAAAACAGCATGCTACACTAGAACAATCAACATTTTCTAACAGAAATTTAATGATTAAAAATCTGACTCCAGGACCTTGCCACAGCTCTCTTCAGCGGGAAAACACATTCTATTATTAGTACCGCAAGCTATTTTTTCCTGAATACATTAACAACTACATACAAAGAGCAAGATGGGCATTATTTCTCTTAATACATACAAAATTAGCTCAATGTTCAATTATAATTTGAAATTAGCAGCATCAGGTAGGTTCTATCTCTGCTGTGCTGAGGCGTCATACTAACTCTAGCTTCACAAAAGAAATTTCCTGTGTCCCTCTCAAATTCTTTCTGCTCATCTGGGCTGAAAACAGAGCTTTGAAACTGGGAAAGTTTAGGCTCAGTATCACATTACTGGATTGTATTCTTGTTCACCTCATCACCAGATCCATTAACTAAACCTTCATAATCACATTTCCCTTTTCTACTTTGACACACTGGTCCTAATGCGAGCAAAACTAATGTCAAGTTTTTTCTTTTTAAAAAAAATCAAACAACATCTCTGAAGTTAGGCAGAAATTACTCAGTTCATTTGTACAGGGAACCAAGATGGAAAGTTAGATGATGCTGCTGTGTAATCACTAGTCTGAATTTGATTATAGAAAAAAGTGATAAAGGCAAGGCAAGTTGTATTCTCAGATAAAAGCAATATTAGCCTTCCTCAGTTGGTTTAGTTTTATTTGTGTATCAAAGGACCAGATGTCCTGGAGTCCGGTGGCATCATGCTGTGTTGCAACACTTGCACAGAGTGAGTAGACAACTGCTTTTACTCCTCACTGTTCCTTTCTCCCCCTCTTCATCCTTCCCACCTCCCTTGTTGTGTGCTATGGGCCAAACCCCACCTGGAAGACTTCAAATACAAAGTCTACCCGCCAGCAGAGGAACTTACAGAACCCGCATAATGAACAAGCTCAAAGTGAGCTTCATATTTCCTTTTCTTATCAGGCCTGGGCTTCTGCAAGTTAGGTGACTTGCCAAGGTGATTGTCATAGAGCTTGGCTTTGAATGTCATATCTGTAGCTTTCGGGAACATGCATTCCTCTTCAAGGATAGACAGGATTCCCAATGGCTGTGGATTAAAGAACATCTCTGTTAAAAAAATGCGTAGGCTGCCTGATTTCAGTTGTTGTGCCTTTATTTTTGATCTCATAGAATTTTTAGCCTGCAAAATTTCTTCTCCTCCTGAGGAAGAAGCCTTTGACTACTCTGTTAAAATAGTAACCACACCTTTGACTATTCAGTATGTCAATTCTGACTTAAAAGGCTTTATGATGACTTACAGAAAGGGTTCGATTTACCTTTCAAGGCAGTTGGACTGAGTGGCATTTTACTATTTGTGTCTTAGGAAAAGATGAGCTAACTTCCTAGCACTGGACACAATATTTGCTGGATCAGGATTATGCATAGATATCCTACCCCTGGAGAAGAAAGTGATCAAGTAAAAGAGCACTTAATAATCAGCCTTTCTACTCCAGCTGTTCCAAACATCCTGCTAATGCAAGACTCAAAATATAATTTCTCATCACGAATCAGTAGGGTTAGATATTGTGCCATAAGAGATGGCAGAAAGATACAGAAAGACAGCTGTCCCCATCATGATCACATTAGACTCACAAAGAAGAGAAAAGGAAAGGCATATCTCATGCTGGGGAAGCAGTGAGAGGGAAGCAATAGTTGCAGGCTAGGAAGAGCATGAAGGACTTTACAGATAAGTGTGTAATGCAAGAAACAGGAACCTCATGGAGGGAGGTGGAGGCTATGTGACTGAAACATAGCATTTGCCCTGAAAATCTGATGAGTAAGTTTGATATTAAGCATAAGTGGAACACAGTAAATGGAAGAGCAGTAGGGATGGAGAAAAACACAGATAAAACCCAAGGAAGATTATACATCCATACAAATCAACAGTTACAGCTTTTAGTTCTGTTGAGTCTGTAAGGCAGACTTAGAGAGATCAAGCCAAGTATCCACAAATGCCACAAAAAATGATTTTCCTTCGATTCTCTATTGCATGTAGAAAAGCAAGAAACTGGTCCTGAGGTTTATCCTACTCTATTCACTGACACTTGAGACATCTCCGAGGGAGCACCATGAATACAACCAATTCAGTAAATACATTTTAGCACTCTTGTACATACCTTCTCAATTAGATCAATGCAGGCCTGCAGGTCCATGCCAAAATCAATGAATACCCACTCAATGCCTTCCTTCTTATACTCTTCTTGCTCCAGGACAAACATGTGATGATTGAAAAACTGTTGCAGTTTCTCATTAGTGTAATTGATGCAGAGTTGCTCAAAGCTGTTAAACTGCAGAAGGAGGTAAAAAAGCAGTGTTTGCACCACATTTAACTATGGTAAGGGCTTGATGGAACAGCAAGAAGGAAACTCGTTTACATCCCAAACCTTCTAAACAGTAACTGGTTAAGGAACTGCTGAGGATAAAACTGAAGGCAAAGGAGGTTTTTTTCAGCAGCAGGCTGCTGACTGCCTCATGCACTATCCTCCAAAGTGTGATGGTGCCCAGATTTGTTCAAGTTTCACAAGATGCACACACCTTTCCTTCACCAGCACGACACCCCAGTCCTGTAAAACAGATCCAGTGTGCTTTACTGCATATAGAGCAACGCATAGCAGCAAAAGCATTAAGCACTTAACTTCAGGAATGGATTCTGAAAAACAGAAACTGTGATGTGCTTTTCTCACTTATATTTCTTTACAATGATGACAGAATCACAGAAGACCCCAGTTTGGAAGGAACTTTGAAAGATCATCTGGTTCAATCTTTTATAAGAAAGAGAATCCAAATGAGAACGTCTAGCACCCTGTCCAACCACATTTTGAAAACCTCCAGTGATGAAGACTCTACCAAATCACAGGGGAGGTTGTTCCAGTGATTGATTTTTCTCAGTGTAAAAAATTCCTTTCTTATGTTGAGATGAAGATATATTCCTTATATTGAGATACAAAGTGTCATACCCTATATAAAAGATGTTACCTCTCAAAAAGAAAGAGTGGGAACAAAACATTCTCCTAAACTCACAGCCCAAAGAATGTGAAATGTTGTCTTTGGTAAAGCTTGTCACCTTTTACCTGCCCAGAAACCATAAGCATGTCCAGCCATGCTAAATGTTGAATATTTGCTACATCTATTCATGGAAAAAAAAATAAATCATATACACTACTTGCTTTATGTTTTTTTCAGCACTTTGCCCTCTGTTCATTTAGAAGAAATATCCCAAGAGCTATCCCTGACCATCTTTTAAGTCCTTCCACCGAGTCCTCACACACTGATACTCACATCAAAGATTTCAAAACCAGCAATATCCAGGACTCCAATGAAGAACTGCCTTGGCAGCTTAGTGTCCAATGTCTTGTTGATACGGACCACCAGCCATTTGAACATTCGATCGTACACTGCCTTAGACAAGGCTCCAACAGCATACAAAACCTAAAAAATATGTTTCAAAACACCACTGTGTGGAACAGAATTCACTGTTGAACATGAAGATTTCAGTGCAGCAGCAGCCTATTTCAATCCCTGCCTAGGGTTTAAATGAAATTTCACAATGTTTTTTATAATCACCAAGACATACTTAATACAATACACAGTTTCTCCCATTATCTACGCTGACATTTCTTCACACATTTAGTATACATATAAATACATAACAACATGTATATATAGTGCTAGTGAAGCACTTCTTCGAAAACAGTTGGACAGCAAGTTGCAAATGTTTTAATCCCTGACATTACTGTGGAAGTTAGATACCAGAAAGCTCAAGAGCCAGCCATGATGTCCAGTGTTACTGCCAGAATAGCGGGGGGGTTGGGGGTGGTGTCTGTGCTCAGGTTGCATAGTCATTTGCTTCTAATTTTTGACGGATGTTATGGCATAATCAGGCAATAGGAAAAGTCTATTAGAAGTCATCTCTTTATACCATGCACAACTACGGCAATAGGATAGACTTCAGCAGTTTTCTAGTTTCTGAGGCTTTAACACAACAATTCTTCAAACAACAATTTTCATTGTAACCAAAATGCTGCAGCATCTTCTACCACACTGCTACAGCTGCAGCAGTGCTAACTCAAAGACTTTTGTTTCCTAAATTAAGAGATACCTTTAAGTAGATATTGCCTTTAGCTGATTGAGGTCACACAGAGCTTAAAATTACATGAATAATGAATGAGTGATGAGTGAATAAATAATCCATGGCTCAACTCTTCTAGGTAACTATACTCATCCAGAATTAGATCTCAATCCCCATGCGGTTTTACTGCACCTGGTTTCTCTGAGTGGCTGCTACTGACACATCAGAAACCCAGTCCTATCAAAGGCAGTGCTGGCCACTATTCCTTTGTCAGTCTTTTTGTCAGCTTCCTGCACTTTCACTGTCTATTCCCCCTAAGAAGAACAAACACATGCTAATACTTCTAGCAGCTGTCTGTCTCTCTCAGATGTTACAGGTGAACCCTCCAGTCTTGCGGGGCAGCTTTCTGAATACTCTGAAAGCTTCTTCTTACCTGTTCAACACTTTGACCTTTGGTCACATACTCGTTGCCAACTTTCACTCTAGGGTGCAATAAACCTTTAATCAAATCAGAGGAGTTGATTCCCATTAGGTAGGCAGCTTTGTCGGCACCTGATCAAGAGAAACAACGTTTCAACTGGCGTTGAACTCCTACATGGAAACATGCCTAACCAAGAAAAAATATTAAGCACATCCACTTCCAAAGAGAAACTGGATAAAGACCTTGCTCTTTTAATGATTTGTGTTAGGTATGCCTGTACTCTCCCTTGTCATAGAGAAGGTTATCTAGCTTCCTCAGAACCCAGCTGCTGCAAGAATCACACTTGAGAAGATTTTCACATACAGTGAAAAGAACATATCTCTGCACTGGTTATAGACAGTTTCAGGAGCAAGAAGAACTAAAGAAGCAAGACCTGAAGACATGGACAAGAAAGCTAAGGCAACATTTTTTTCCAACCATTTTGTTCGAATGATTACAGAGGTGGAATTTCACTGCGCTGCTCCGAGCACGTCTATTCACGTTCCACTAAGTAAAGTTACCCACCACTGAGCAAGCTACTGCTACAAATAAAACATAGCACCCTTGGCTGAGCAAGAGCTACATTGTGCAAGATCAAAGCAAACAGGCTACTTTTTCCTCAACACAGTACAGGATACCTGCCAGACTTCTGAAAGTAAGGAGTAATTTTAGGTATTGTTCTTACTTTCAGTGCCATCAGCCTCTGCCTGCTCTTCTCTGGGTCTTTGTTTGAATTTCATATTCCCAAAGTGCATGATGGCACCTGTGAGCTTGTAGGAGCCAGACTTCTCATCTGGCACAAATCCCAAGATGTCCATGGCTTGCTGTGAAAAGGAAATGCAGGTATATTATCAGTTCCCTATTCAAAAGTCATGGCATTTTGCAGGCCTGCAATCTACCTTCGCATGGCAGATATCACTAACCTGCAAAGGGACGTTATCTCAGAAAGCAGCCACTGGGTCACTCTGAAGACCTGGCAGTGGCTGGGCAGCAGGAGGAGAACTCTTTATCTAGCATTTTAGATATCAAAGTTATAAGAATATTGTGCCCAATGGCACAATATTCTTATAATTTTGCACAGCCAGATTCAAAAGTATAATAATTTATAAGGATTCGTGCCTCATAGTATGTACACAATTAAGACCGATTTCTGCTTTCACTTTAGTCCAGCAGTTTCAGAAGTTAGACTCCTGCCAAGCACATTTCCTCCCCACGTACACCTAATCTATGGAGCACAAGTCAAATCCATATGGACTTACATCTGTTGCCAGCAATTCTTCTCCATCATCCAAGTTGTCCACTGTAACCACTCCTTGTGAGCAAAAGTGGTAGTCATATGGGTTGGTAGATACCAGCAGCATATCTGTAAAAGAACTGCTAAAGTCAAAAAACGCCATCCATTCAGATACCTTTTTTTTTTTTCAATGACTGCAGGGCAGCAACAAACTCATTCTATCGCTGTAGTCTGAAGACCAAGATATAGAGAAAATGTGAATAAAAAGAATATGGAAATACTGCATATAGGTCTGTTAGACATGTTTTGCAGTACACTGAGTTTATACTGAGCTCATAATTTCCTGCAGAGCCCTGCTTTCAGCCTTGCATGCCTGTAGGGGCAAAAATCTCAACTAAGTGCAGAGGAGAAAAAGATTTTAGTATGATCCAAGACAGGGGCAAAGGACATGGTTCCCCTCTTCTGTAATAGACTCACGAAATAGTGACTTCTGGGACTCTAAGCAGAAGAAACTTGGGTCTTGGTAAAACAGAAGTCTGAATACAGCTCTCTCTTTCTCTCCTCTGTCCCTTTCCTTCACACCAAACCCTCAAAACACAGAGTTGTTTTTTAGAAAGCTATCTGGCTCCAAAACTACAGGGATAGTCCTGCTTCCCTAAAACAACAGAAAGTTTCATACATATTCAGCAGACCAAGGTTTGGTCTAGATTTCATTCTTTTATA